CGGTAGGGCCCCCCTGCCTGCACCCTGGCCCCACGGTAGGGCCCCCCTGCCTGCACCCTGGCCCCACGGTAGGGCCCCCTGCCTGCACCCTGGCCCCACGGTAGGGCCCCCCTGCCTGCACCCTGGCCCCACGGTAGGGCCCCCCTGCCTGCACCCACTTTCTCCAGATGGGTCCTCCAGCTCTGCCCCAGAGGCTTCTGCTTTGCCTGTCGCTGGGAGGAAGCCCCAGGCCAGGCCACAGGCTGATGCTGTAGAGGAAACGCTTTGGGGTGGCTGAGTGCCAGGGCGGGTGGGAGGCCTGGAGAGTTGCCAGACCCAATGCACTGCATCCCACGAGCTGCAAAGGAGACCCCCGCCCTTTGCTTGCCCCCAGGCCTCACGAAGACCTGGAGATGGATGCTTCTCGGCCCTCAGATTACAGCCCCAGGCCAGGGTCTCTGTGCTTGAATACCCCAGAGCTCCTCAGGCTTAGGGGGCAGGGAGGGCCCAACCCGCGGCCAGCCAGTTCTTCCTGCCCTGATGGAGTCTGGCCTGTCTCTGCCTGCCATGCCTGTTAACCCACCCACTTGTTCTTCCTTGCCATCCAAGATCCCGTCCCTGGCTCCTCTGCATTCTACAACAGCTGCGCAGTCCCCTCTAGAACATTCTGCAACAGCCCCATGGTCTCCCTAGAACATTCCACAGCAGCCCCATGATCCCCTCTAGAACATTCCACAATAGCCTCCCAGTCCCCTCTAGAACACTACGCCACAGCCTCATGATCCCCTTGCTCCTCAGAGCATGTGGCCACCAGCCCCAGGAACCCAGCCTCTTGAGACGCTCCCAGGGTAGACCTGCACGTTATCCTCACTCCGAAGCAGATGCTATTGGTCCAAGAGGATGCTCGGGCCGTCTTCAGTGGCTTCAGGACAAGGATTCTGTACCTCGGCCCCTGTCCCGACACCTGACTGCCCACAGAAGTGAAGACACCCCTACTGTCAGCCCTCATGGGAGAGTTCAAGCTGTGAGCAGGGGAGGGAGTGAAAGCCCAGCCAGAGAGCCAGGCTCCATTGGGAACAGATTTGGGTATTTCACCAAATCCCTCTGTGGGAACGGGCTGGGCGCAAGCACAGAGGAGGTCACACTGGAGGGAGCAGCCCAGGGCAGACTGCAAGACCCCGGTGGTCCATGCCCTGGAGGGCTCCACCCAGACACAAGCCACGCTGGTTTTCCATGCTGCGTAAGAAGCGGCACAGATGTAAGGACTGCAAGTAGCACCCGTTTATGATCTCGCAGTTCTCCAGGGCAGGGGTCCCAGTGGGCTCAGCGGGCGCCCTGTGCGGGGTCTCTCAGGCTCACGTCAGGCCTTGGTGGGCTGCACTGTTATCTGGAGGCTCCAGGGAAGCGTCTGCCTCCAGGACCATTCAGGCTGTTGACAAGTCAACTCCTCATGGCTGTAGGACTGAGGTTCCCGTGTCCTGTCCCTGCTCCCGTGGCCCCTCCACCTTCAAACCAGCAATGGCACACTAAGTAGGCTGCCGTCAAATATACATCACATAGAATTCGCCATCTGAACCATTTTTTAAGTGTATGGTGTGTGTCATTAAACACATTCACGTTGCTGTGCAACCATTGCCACGATCCATCTCCAGAACTTTCCACCTTCTCAAGCTGAACGTCTGTCCCTAGTAAACACCAACTCACATCCTCTGCCCTGGTCCCTGGCACCCACCATCCACTTTCTGTCTCTATGGATTCAGCTGCTCCAGGGGCCTCATATCGTGAGGTCACACAGGGTATTCCTTTTGTGTCTGGTTTATTTCATTTACTGTTATGTCCATAGGTTCATCCGTGTTGTAGCCTGTGCCAGAGTTCTTGAAAGAGAAATCTTATCAGCTTTCCCACGTGGTCCAGGGATTCAGGCAGGACACTTAGTGGGTAACAGTTTAGATATTCTGCCTGCCACACCCACTCTCACTGGACTTTCAGACCATGTCTATGATGAAAATCTCTAATGGTCCCTGAATGTTTGCACAATTTGCTCAACATGCTAAGTCCTGGATGGAACACCAAGTTGGCCCAGCCTAGGCCAACGCCCTAGTGACACTGACAGAAGAGGACTGTCAGAGCCCTTCTAACTTCCATAGCTGGCGTGTGGACCCATCCCCCACCAAGACCAGCCAAGGCGGCTTCCCCCCAAATAAGAACAATCCTATGATGAGCGGCCACAGTGACAAATGCCAGCTATGGTCCCCCCTATCTTTCCAGTGACACCCACACACCCCTCCGGAAATGAGAACACTCCCACGTAACACACAGTGCTCCTTCCACTGAAAGCGCACAGGCCTGGTCGCCAAGGGTGGACACCAAAGGTCTCATGGGTTCCACACCCGGTGACAGCCCAGGGTCTCTGGTGGTGGGCACTCCCGCTGGCCCCGTCCTGGTCATGTCGCTGTTCTGCAGCCTATGGGTTTAATGTGAAAGGAAGCACCAACACACCCAACACACAGTCTCGGCGGAAAGAGAAGGGAGGTGGGAAGCTGAGTTCAGTTCTGGTGAAGTTTAGACAGCACGACAAAAACAGAAACTTCGCCAAAGCTCTGGGTGGCTCATCTCTGCAGCTGGTCATGAGATGGTGATGTGTGTTCATGGCTCACGTTCTTCACACCGTGTTTGCTCAGCCCGGCAGCCCAGTTCTTCACTCCCGCAGGGTCTCAGTCCTGTGGCTGCTGTGGTTGTCTACCGATTTTATCTCCAGCTACGGGAGAATGGGGAAAGGCTCGGGACCACCTGTTAGTAGTCACATCTCTGCTTCCTCTTGTTAGGACCACCTCGCTATTCCCAAGGGCCCCTTTAAGGCTTCTTAATCCACGTGGCACCCACAACTTTCAGCTCCATCATACCGTGATTTATTCTCTGACCAAAGCACTCCTCTGTTAGTTACTGAAATCTCCAAACCAGGCCAGGCACGGTGGGCTCACACCTGGAATCCCAACAGTTTGGGAGGCCAAGGCAGGAGAACTGGAGGCAGCAGCCCAGCGCAGACAGCAAGACACCCGTGGTCCATGCCTTGGAGCGCTCCACCCAGACGCAAGCCGCGCTGGTTTTCTCAGCTGCGTAAGAGCAGCATAGATGTAGGGGCTGCAAGGAGTGTGTGTTCATGGCGTGTGTATGCCTCACATCTCAACACTTTGGAAGGCCGAGGCAGGAGGACTGCTTGAAGCTGGGAGTTCGAGACCAGTCTGGGCAGCACAGCAGGATCTTGTTTCTACAACAACAGAAAGGAAATATTAGCCAGGCATGGTGGTGAACACCTGTGGTCCCAGCTACTCAGAGGCTGAGGTGGGAGGATCTCTTGAGCCCAGGAGGTAGCGGCTACAGTAAGCTGTGATCACAGCCCTGAACTCCAGCCTGGGTGGCAGAGTGAGACCCTGTCTCAAAATATAAACAAATAGGCCAGGTGTGGTGGCTCATGCCTATAATCTTAGCACTTTGGGAGGCTGTGGGAAGTAGAAAAATTCCTTTTTAAAGTTTCCTTTCTTGTTAAAGAATCAGTGTGCTAATAACTTTGTGAAGCCCTATCCTATGGAGCTGTTAGACATACCATGCTCACAGGCACATAGTACATTCTGTGTCCTTGTACTTTCACCAAGATATCTGTGCTGGACGTGCTCACAGGCATGTCCCAGCCCTCCATGGCTTTTACCTGTTTAGAAAAGTTTTAGGTTATTAGCCAATCAGGTTTAAGTTTAAATTGTGAGATCTGGCTGCAGCCAACTGAGATCAGACACAGCGGTAAGGAGGACCCCAAATGCGTAACGAATAAATTTGTGTGTTTCCCTTTGTTCTTTGTACTCTTGTGGCACAATGCTTACTGGGAGTACCCGTCCTGCAGTCCAGGAAGTAAAAATTGTGTTGCTGAAAGATCCTTTGTCTCAGTGCTGATTTTTCTTTGCAGCACTGAGCATCTATTTCCAACTTAGGCCAAGGTGGGCAGATCATTTGAGGTCAGGAGTTAGAAACCAGCCTGGCCAACATAGTGAAACCCCATCTCTAATAAAAAAAAAAAAAATTAACCAGGTGTTGTGGCAGGTGCCTGTTATCCCAGCTACTCAGCAGGCTGAGACAGAAGACTTGCTTGAACCCAGGTGCAGAGGTTGCAGTGAGCCAAGATCATGCCATTGCACCTCAGCCTGGGTGACAAGAGCAAAACTCCCTCTCAAAAAAATAAATTAAAAAAAAATGAATAAAGAAATAAAATACAAAAAGATTAGTTGGGCATAGTGGTGGGCATCTGTACTCACAGCTACTCGGGAGGCTGAGGCAGGAGAATTGCTGGAACCCCAGAGACAGAGGGTGCAGTGAACTGAGATTGCGCCACTGCCCTCCAGCCTGGGTGACACAGCGAGACACGGTCTCAAAAAATATATATACATATGTACACGTGCGTATTTATATGTATATATAGGCATATATGCATATATATGCAATGTCTATATATATATATGCCTACACACACACACACACACACACACACACACACACACACACACATATATAACTAAATAAAATAAACGAAAATAAATCTTCAATCTAGAAGAGTAAGGACTAACAGGGCCAAGAGGTGAACCCTTTCCGAATGTCTAACCATAAGCACCGCCCTCACTCTCATCCCTAAGCCCCCGGCCTGTGGATCCTGGTTTGGGGGAGCAGCACCACTCACTGGGAACCAGGACCATATGCTGTAGGACCTCACTGCAGTCTTACGGTGGCATCTCCCAGCTGAGCTCCTAAATAATCCCGAATGGTCCTGAGAAGCCAGATCGCCATCCCTCAGGGTTGGCTTCTCTGGAGGGACAGGGTACGTGGACACCCTAGTGAATCTCATGGTGTCTCCCCTCTGTCCTTCAGCTGTAAAGACAATGCCGTGGCTAGAAACGGCAGCAGGTGCGGGAGCAGGCGGTAGTCTGGGAAGGACAGCGCTGGTGCTGGCGGAAGCAGTGCCGGGGAGGGGAGGAGGGTCCAGATCAAGAAGGGTCAAGTGCAGTCGTCTTCCCCCTCATCTCATAGCCATGTGGTCCAGGGATGAAGACAGGGCAGTGAGTGAGGAGAGGGGAACAGGCTGGTTTAAGACCACAGCTGGAAGACATCCCTGAATGTTTGCACAGTTTGTTCAAGGTTCGAAGTCCTGGTGGAACACCAAGCTGGGCTGAGGCCCTACGTAGCTGACAAGAGAGAAAGAATGTCAAGGCCGTTGTAGCCTCCATAGTGGGCTGTGCCCACCCCCCATGAAGTGGAAGTAGTGCCAGTGAGGGGACATCAAGCATCAGCGCCATATCCTGTGGGACTTCACTGCAGTCTTGCACTGGCATCTCCCAGCTGTGCTCCTAAATGATCCTATTCCCCCTCAGCACTAAATGTCCTGCCTTCGTTCCTGAGAAAAGCCAGACCCCCTCCACAAACGAAGGCACCCAAAGCCAGTCAGCCCATGGCCAGGTGGCTCAGAGGTCTCCCATGAGATGTGGTGCCCTTCTGCAGGGCAGGACATCACGCTGCTGACCTTGATCGGGCATCGGCTGCAGGGATGTCTGGAAGAGCTTGGTAAGCTGAGTCCCTGTGGCTGGGCCACAGCCACTCCCCTTCCCCCATGTCTGCCTCAAGGCAGCACCAGCTCCCTTGGAGCAGAGGCTGCCTGTCTGCCACAGGTTCCAAGAACCTTACTAGAGTCCAGTACCCAATTGGCTTGACGGTAGAGAATGCCCAGCCTGTCCAGCTACAGGACTCAGCAGACAAACAACACCCAGATCAGACTACATCTGATGCCCATGGATGGACTCAGTCTCCACCAGGCCCAGGGGAAGCCAAGCGCTGTATCTCCAAGCGAGAAGAGGTCCCGGCCACAAATGGCAAACCCTGCTCCCCTCAACGGTCACAGGGGCCTCCACCATGGATTGGCTCAGGTGCCTCAGTCAGCCAACACCCCAAGAGGACCTTTGGGTCCCTGAGCCACCACAACCCAGCGTCTCAGCCCACACAAGAACAGGACCCCAGGGGCATTGTCACTGGCTGTGCCTCCTGCAGAAAGCAGGCCACCCACTGGGGCTCCTGGACACAGGGAAAGCACACACCCAAATGTGGGCTGTGTTTCCTCCAAAGAGTGCTGTGCACCGATGACCCAGGGTGCAGGAGCGGTCCTTCACCACCACAGAGTAGGCGTGCCCAGCTTTGTTGGACCCCAGGGAGAACTTCAGGAGAAAGGAGGAGTCTCTGTTTTCACAGGGTTTCCTTCTCACCCTGCCAGGCATGGTTTTGGTTAAAGCAAACCACAACTTCCTCCCCTCCAGGTCACATCAGCCCAGTGTCCTGTGGGCTGGGGAGACAATCAAGGCCCACATGGGCTAAACTATGGCTGAGATCTAGGGCATTCATGTAATCCCAAGGCAGGTTCATGCTGCCATCCCTCCCAGGTGAGAGCAAACCAAACCACCCTTACAGTTTTCTACATGTTGGGATAGACTGAAAAACAACAAAAACAGGTGTTCACTGGCCAAATACTGTTTGCCAATACAAAAAACCTGTACTGATTTGCTCCAATTAAGAAGAATATCTGGTGCTTGCTTCAGCAGCACATAACTAAAATTGGAACCATACAGAGATTAGCACAGGACCTGCACAAGGATGACACACAAATTCTTGATGTGTTCCATATTTTTCAAGCATACCTCAAAATTATAAGAGCCATCTATGACAAACCCACAGCCAATATCATACTGAATGGTCAGAAGCTGGAAGCATTCCCCTTGAAAACCAGCACAAGACAAGGATGCCCTCTCACAATCCTATTAACATAGTTTTGGAAGTTCTGGCCAGGGCAATCAGACAAGAGAAAGAAATAAAGAGTATTTAAATAGGAAGGGAGGAAGTCAAACTATCTTTGTTTACAGATAACATGATTCTATATCTAGAAAACTCCATCGTCTCAGCCCAAAAGCTTCTTAAGCTGATAAGCAAAGTCTCAGAATAAAAAATCAATGTGTAAAAATCACTAGCATTCCTATACACTAACAACAGGCAAGCCGAGTGAGCTCCCATTCGCAATTCCCACAAAAAGAATAAAATACTTAAGAATACAGGTAACAAGGAAAGTGAAGGAGCTCTTCGAGGAGAACTACAAACCACTGCTCAAAGAAATCAGAGATGACACAAACAGATGGAAAAACATTCCATGCTCATGGATAGGAAGAATCAACATCATGCAAATGGCCTTACTGCCCAAAGCAATTCATGGATTCAGTGCTTTTCCCATTCAACTACCATTGACATTCTTCACATGATTAGAAAAAAACTATTTTAAAATTCATATGGAATCAAAAAAGCCTGAACCTCCTAGGCAATCCTAAGCAAAAAGAGCAAATGCTGGAGGCATCACGCTACCTGACTTCAAACTATACTACAGGGATACAGTAACCAAAACACGGTGGTGCTGGTACAAAAACACACATAGACGAATGGAACAGAATAAGGACCACAGAAATAAAACTGCACACCTAACAACCATTTAATCTTTGACAAACCTGACAAAAATAAGCAATGGGGAAAGGATTCCCTATTTAATAAGTGGTGCTGGGAGAACTGGCTAGCCATATGCAGAAAGTTGAAACTGGACCTCTTCCCTATACCATATACCAAAATCAACTCAAGATGAATTAAAGATGTAAGTGTAAAATCCAAAACTTTAAAAACCCTAGAGAAAAACCTAGGCAACACCATTCAAGACATAGGCACAAGCAAAGATTTCATGACAAAGATGCCAAAAGCAATTGCAGCAAAAGCAAAAATTAACAAATGGGATCTAATTAAACTAAAGAGCTTCTGCACAGCAAAAGAAACTGTCAACAGAGTAAACAGACAACCTACAGAATGGGAGAAAATGTTTGCAATCTATGCATCTGACAAAGGTCTAATATCCAGTGTCTATAAGGAACATAAACAAATATACAAGAAAAAAACCAAATAACTTCATTAAAAAAGTGGGTAAAGGACATGAGCAGACCCTTCTCGAAAGACAACATACATGAGGCCAACATATGAAAAAAAGCTCAACATCACTGATCATTAGAGAAATGGAAATCAAAACCACAATGAGATACTATCCCACACCAGTCAGAATGGCCATTACTAAAAAGACAAAAAAATAACAGTTGCTGGTGAGGTTGTGGAGAAAAAGGAATGCTTTCACACTGCTGGTGGAAGTGTAAATTAGTTCAGCCATTGTGGAAGACAGCGTGATAATTCCTCAAAGACCTAGAGGCAGGAATGTCATTCTACCCAGCAATCCCATTACTAGGTATATACTCAAAGGAATATAAATTGTTCTGTCATAAAGACACATGAAAACGCATGCTCACTGCAGCACAATTCACGATAGCCAAGACATGGAATCAACCTAAATGTTCATCAAAGGTAGACTGGATAAAGAAAATGTGGTACATATACACCATGGAGTACTATGCAGCAATAGAAAGGAATAAGCTCAGGTCCTTTGCAGGGACGTGGATGGAGCTGGAGGCCATTATCCTCAGCATACTAACACAGGAACAGAAAACCAAATACTACATGTTCTCACTTGTAAGTGGGAGCTAGATGATGAGAACACAAGGACACATGGGGGGAACGACACACAGTGGGGCCTGATGTTGGATTGGGGGAGTGGGAGGAGGGAGTAGGGAGAGCATTGGGAAGAAGAATAGCTGATGGGTGCTGGGCTTAATACCTGGGCTATGGGATGATCTGTGCAGCAAACCACCGTGGTACATGCTTCCCTATGTAACAAACGTGTACATCCTGCCCATGTACCCCTGAACTTAAAAGTTGGAAATTGTAAAAAGAAGAATATCTGAAACTAGGGCTGCAATTATGTTACTACCTGATGTCAGGACCCCCCTGAGTGTGCAGTGTCTCCTGGGTTGAAGAACTCTGCTTTGATGGCGTGCACAACTAGAGGAGGAATTGCCAAATCCCTGTGTATGTGCCTGTTCATATCCACTGAACGTCACAAAGCACGTGTCCCAGTGTATGCACAGTTGTCCCCCTTAACCGTGATTTCACTTGCTGCAGTTTTCATTATCCACGGTCAACCACGGTGTGAAAAACAAGTGAGTACAACAAGATACTTTGAGAAAAAGAGACCACATTCTCTTACCTTTCATTACAGTATGTTATTATAATTGTTCTATTTTATCATTAGTTGCTGTTAATCTCTTGCTGTGCCTAATTTATACATTACACCTTATCATAGGCATGTATGAATAGGAAAAAACATAGTATGTATGGGGTTCTGTACTCTCTGAGTTCCAGGCATCCACCGGGGTCTTGGAACAAGCCCTCATGGGTAAGGGGACCTGCAGTGCTCACCAGCTGTGCCTGTGCACTCTGGCATGTATCCTTGCTCACAAATCTAATCATTCTGCCAACCTGATAGGTGTTAAATGGTATCACATTATGGTTTTAATTTCTATTTCCCTATTTACTAGCCAAGCTTTCATATTTATTGGCCATTTCTGTTTTCCACTATGATGTGAAATGCCTGTTCATGTCTTTTACCCATTGTCCGATTGGACCTAGTCCTTTTTCTTACTGGTTTATGGGGATGTTTCTATGTATTACTGGGCAGAATTCATTTGATGCTTATATGGATGATGAATATTGTCTCCCAATTTGTGGTTTGACTTTCACTTTCTTTATGGTGCCCTCTGGTGAACAAATGTTCTTAATTTATTTTTTATCTTTTAATGAAAATCTTAATGCAGAAAAAAATGCAGAAATAATAATACAATGAATGCAAATTCCCCCTGTGATGGCTAATTTTATGAGTCAACTTGGCTGGGCCACAAGGCCCATCTGTTTGGTCAAACACCAGCCTGGATGTTGCTGCTGTGAAGATATTTTTAATATATGAATAATATTTAAATTAGTAAACTTTGAGTAAAGCTGGTTACCCTCCATAACGTGGGTGGACCTCATCCAGTCAGGCCTTAAGAAAGAAGACCAAGGTTTCCTGGAGAAGAAAAGATTTAGCCTTGAGACTAAAACATAAAAACTCTACCTGAGTTTCCAGCCTACTGGCCTGGAAATTCAGACCTGCCAGCCCCACAATCACAGGGTCCAGTGCCTTCTGTGTATGTGTGTATATGGGTATGTATGTAATGTATACATATATTATATATACTATGTATGTATATTATATCAGTTCTGTTTCTCTGGAAAACCCTAATACAGCCAGCAGCCAGATTAAAGCAATGTAAGTATTTTGCCTTGTTTGCTTTTTTTCTCTCTCTCCATAGATATGCAGATAGATACATAGATTAGATAGATAGATAGATAGATAGATAGATGAGAGAGATAGATACATAAATATATATACATACATGTAATTAAATTACAAACACATGGCCAAGGGTAAATAAATAGGTCAGAAAATTCAGCATTCATCTCCAAAAATGGAGGATATTTTCCAATGAAACTACAATCCCATTATCACATCCAGCTAAGTTAAACAATTATTCCCTAATAGCATTGAAAACATAATCCATATTCCATCTTTATCAAGTTCCCCAAAACACATTTGTTGCTGGTTTGTTCAAGCCAGGATGGAATCAAGCCCCATGCCTTGGGAACATCTCTGTCTCCAGTTTTCTTCCCCACCCTCTGCACCTAATCTTTTCCCCAAGCCTCTAACTTGCTGCAGGAGCCTGGATCAGTGGCCAGAAGTTCCCAGGCTCAAGGTCCCATTTCCCAGAAGTGCCATTCCACCTTCCCCACTCTCCCCTGTAAATTCCTATAACGAAAGCTCAGAGCTGAGTGCTTTGAGCATATGGGAGGATCCTCAGGAGACGCTGTTAAGTTGTGTGCTCCTTACAGCCCACATCGGAGGTAAATGATGTCTGCTTGTCCCTCATCAGTGAGGCAAAGGCCACCAGGGGACAGTCAGATATTTCCATGTGCTTGAATGTTTGTGAACCCTCAAAATTCATGTTGGAACTGAATCCCCAGTGCAACAGTATTAGAAGGTGGCGCCTTTGGGAACTGGATTAACACCTCACAAGAGAGGCTTCACCCAGCACTTCTCCCCTTCTCCCCTCTCATCTCTTCTGCCATGTAAGGACACAGTCTTTGTCCCCTCCAGAAGATGTAGCAACAAGGTGTCATCTTGGAAACAGAGCGAGTAGCCCTCACCAACACTGGGTGCTGGTGCCTTGACCTTGGACTTCCCAGCCTCCAGAACTGTGAGAAAAGAGACTGCTGTTGTTTGTAGATTACCCAGTCTGTGGTGTTTTGTTATAACAGCACAAACAGACTAAGATGTGGTTGTGAAGTGGTATCTTGTCTTTGCAACTGGCAACCAATCTGTCAGTGTTAGGTCATTCAGGTCCCCAGCGAAAACCTTCTTTTCCAGCTGGAGCATCTATTGATGGTCCTTTCCCGAATCACCCATCCCACTAGATGTTGCAAAGTGACAAGTTTCTGATTGTGCAGCATCTAAAATAGTCCCAGGATCCCTGTCCTGATAGTAATGCCCTTGTGCCACCCCTACTCTAGAGCATGGGCCAGATCTAGTCATTTGCTTCTGACAAATAGATTAAGGTCAAAGTGATGGGAAGTCATTTCCTCCCTTCTTAATTTAGGCTACAAAAAGACTCTGTTATAGTTGGGA